TATTGAATTTTACAAATCTTCCTCAACCTGTAAACTCCAATAAAGTTACAATTATTAGTAATAATAATGGTAATTATTGTTAAATATTTAATCTTAATTATTTATTATTTATGATATTTTAAATTATATATTCTAAATATAAATCAATACTATAGAATCTAAACAAATTGAATTAACTATGCCAGATTCCAAACAAATTGAATTAACTATACTAGATGATTTTATGAATAAATTTCATTCATCTGATTATTGAAATTTTTACATTAGTTTTTTTATCATTATAAGGAAATGTTATATGATGAACAGACACCTCTTATTATTATCAAAAAAAATTTTTTTAATGATTATATGCTATCTATTTTAAATTAAAGCAAACACTCCTTGTAATTTAACTTGATTGAAATGACCTAACACCATGCCTCTTAGTATTATTTTTTTATAATTTTATTAGTATTTTTATATTCAACATTTATATATACTGTTTTAACATTTTTATCATCTATAAACACTACAAATAATAGTAATACAAATCAAGAGATAAAATCTGTATCTCACAGTAAATCTCAATATTTTATTAAAATAATATGCCAACAATGTTAATACAATTTCTTCCAATTTATTTATATTAAATCATAACAACAATTTCTGCAAATGTATATTTATGCTTTACTCTCAAAACTATCTTTCACTATCATTAAACAATTTCTTAAATAAAATTCATTAAATATTACCTCACTAAAAAAAGAAAAGAAATAAAAAATAATAAAAATAATTGACAAATATAAGAGAAATTTATTATGCTCAGGATTAGTGAGGATTGTTAGATAGATTTATTATTATTACAAAAATATAAATTTGAAGACTACAACAAGGACAAGGTTGATGACAGTGTTATTTATTAAATTATTATGATGATGATTTATGATGATGAAGATTAAGGTTTCTGGTCCAAACTGTTTTCTCAAAGCCCAAACTAGTTTGGGCAATTTGGGCTTCTCAACATTTTCTATAAGCATGAACATTAAAAAACTATATGAATCAACTTGTTTTAACTTAAACAACTTTAAAATAATTTTGCCCAATTTCGGCTAATAACAAAAAGTAGTTTGGGCTTATAAAAAAATAATTTTTGCCCAAAGTATTTGGGCAATTTCGGCTACTAATAGAAGCAGTTTCGACCAGAAACCTTAATGAAGATGATACATGAAGTTGAGAAAGTTACAATGTTATTTATATATGTTAAAGGTTCTATCATCTAGTTCTCCAATTTCTTTGAAATCCTAATTTATCCTAATTAAATGTATTACCTGAACCTTCTATTATTTTCAAGTTATTTCTAAAGTGATTGAATCATTTAAATTCCTTTGATTAAGTTTAACCTGAGAATTAAAGGTCTGTTTTATCAAAATTAATTTGGCTTTGACTCAATTTCTTAAAATCTCAATTTTTAATTGCATCTGACTCAATTATTATACAGTTGCACTTGTTTATTTGCATACAGTATATTTGCATAATCTGTTCATTTACATAAAGGTAGCTCAGTCCCATATCAGGACTTATGAAATATTTGCATAATGTAAACATGCATATTGTGTGATCAAAATCCGCATCTCACACAAATCTCTTGTTTTTTATTTATACTAATATTTATTCTGTTTTCTGGCAGTATCCAATTATTTAATTCTTTGATTATTTTCTTTCACTATAGTGCTCAAGCTATTTAATTATTTACAGGGCAAGCTTCCTTACTTCCCTTCTGGCAACGTTTTCTCAGCAGTTCTTTGTTATCTGCCTGAGCCAGCACGTCTCAATGATATTTATAATATCTCAAGTATCTGCCGTGATACTTTCTACACTGATTATTATATTTATGGTTCAGCCTCTTAACTGACCTCACCTAGCTAGGATTTCCACTATTTAGGCATTTGCCTAATCTAGATAAAAGTAAAGAAAATAAAATTAAAAGAAAATAATTAAAAAAGGACAGGCAATTATGAGGGACGGGCATGGCGTGGGTCAAGGCACAGCAACCCATCCCCCGTCCTTTTCTATTATTCATTGGGGAAATCTTGAAAAGGACGGGTGAAAAAGGGTCAGGTTGCTGCGTCATTACTGCCCATCCCATGTCCTTTTATATTATTTATGGGCAAATCTTGAAAAGGACAGGCAAACAAAGGATGGGTTACTGTGCCATTACCACTTTGTCCCGCTGTTTTTTTTATTATTAATGGGCGAACACAGGTGAAAGCTGTTTGTCATAAATATAATATCCCATATCCATTTATTCCTTATTTAAAATCTTGATTTTTATTTTTATTTATAATCTTTTGGTTTGAGACAAAATTGTATAAAATAAAATCATTGAAAATATAGATTCAGATATTGATTGTTGCCACCACTATAAATAGAAGGGGAATAACCTTTTTAATACAAAGCTTTAATTGTTAAATTTTAATACTAATCAAAAATGAATGCCACATTTTTTTAATTAATGAATGCAAGATCATAAATAATGCCATGTTTATTTAATAATAAATGCATTGTTATTTGGTACTAATCAAGATTGTCAAATAACAAATGCCAATGCAACATTTATTAATAATGGATTTATTACTGAATTTATGGCTAGTTCATTTTAATATATTATAGAACAAATTTGAATTGGCAATTTTGTTTAGTGTCAAAAAAAATGAAAATCTAGATTCAGATGTTGATTGTTGCCACCACTATAAATAACCTTTTTAATACAAAACTTTAAATTTAATACTAATCAAAATGAATGCCACGTTTTTTTAATAATAAATGCATTGTTATTTGGTACTAATCAAGATTGTCAAATAATGAATGCCAATGCCACATTTATTTGGTAATAGATTTATTATATTTTTGGCACATATCAATTTATTTTTTATTACTAATATTAATATGAATTTATGGCTAGTACATAATAATATAATATTTTCCAATTATGCCTTGCACAATTTGAAATGATTTATTTTCTTATTTATTATACAATATTGTAAGTATTATTAATGCCCATCCTTTTTAAGAAAACATTAGGGATGGGCAGTAATGGCACAGTAACCTGTCCCTTTTTCACCCGTCCTTTTCAAGATTTCCCCAATGAATAATAGAAAAGGACGGGGGACGGGTTGCTGTGCCTTGACCATCCCTCATAATTGCCCGTCCTTTTTTAATTATTTTGAAAAACACCCATACCATTGCCTGTCCTTTTCTAGTATTAAAGGGCCAAACGTGAAAAGGACGGGGGACGGGTTCAAGCCACACCTGCCCATCCCCCATCCTTTTCACGTGTCCCAATTTATTCACAAGATCAATTTTACTTTTAATCTAGTGAAATGAAGGAGCTATAGAAAATATCAATATAAATTGCAGATGAAGTTAGAAAGATGATAAAACAATCAAAGAGAATGAATAAAGTAATAACTTCATTTATAATTTATAAATTTAATGAACAATTATTTATTATTAATATTTGAATATTTTCATAAGACTTTATTACTACTATCAGTCAAATATCCTCTTTGTTTTTTTGGTGAAGGATAAATTAGATCATCATCATCACTAATATCTACTTGTAGTGTATTTTCAAAAACATTTCTATATTTCAACACATCTTCAAATTCTTCAAATTCTCTTACTGAATCTAATACAGCATTTCTGAAAATAATTAGTCCATATAAATAGTTACATACAGATTGTGATTCTGAATAAGAACTTAATGGAATTAATACATCAAAAAGTTGCATAACATGCCCAACTTCATAATTACTATTGTAATATAATATTTTTAATGATGTTCCTATCATTGCAATAGATAAAGATTTTGTTAATAAAAGGATTGTATGTATATATTAGTAGGCCCCAAAAATACAGATGAAAAAGCTAATTATAAAAATAAAAATAATTACCATGTAACAACATTCCAAATCTTGGAATACTCTTTATTTTATTGATCAAGTTATCATCAACAACTAAAGACATATGCATATTTAATTTGCTTTTCACTGATTTATTACATTTTCTTAAGTATCGTATTAACTTTCTTCTATCTTGTTCAATTTTTATTTGATCTTGTAAAAACGGAGGACCAGTTGCCTCTCCATATATAAATTCAAATTTAGTTTCATTGATGAGAAATGATGAAATCCAATCAGGCTTCAATTTTGATTTAAACTTATTTCGGCATGCTTTTTTTTCTTTATCCGACATATTTAAGATCCACAAATCGTAATCAAACCTTATGTTTTCATTCCCTTCATCACACATTTTTGTATCCCTAAAAATATTGCAAGTTATTCAATAAGTGTTCACAGTTTTAAAATTTAATGAAAATTTTTTTACCAGTCAATCCTGATATGAGAACTACACTTTTGAACAGTTTCATATATTATATCATGCATAATTTCATGAATAAATGTATTTTCCAAGATTTCTGAATCACCATTTAATTTATTGTCATATCTTCTAATTTTCCAAATTGATTGCCTTAATTATATAAATTTATTGTATTGAATGTTATATACAAAGTTTTCTCTTGATTATAAAAAAATCAACAGAACCAATGATAGTCAAAACTCAATTTTTTAAACATCTCTAAAATATAGAGAAATACTTCTTTTTTTTCTTCGGATAAATTGCTTGGGATATCTGGATAGGAAGTTGATTGTCCTAATTCTGATAATTGCTTAATCCATAATTTAAGAACATTTTCTATGGTTTTCCATGATCTCATCTTTTCACAAATGTTCATACATTCAAGTTCTTCTCTAGAAAATATGTTAACAAGTAATTTGCTTATACAATCAAGATCAATAACACATGATAAAAAGGGATTATTGAAAGCAAGTTTTCTAAGATTATCATTCTTTATATGATAATTTAGTTTCTCAATAACAATGATTTGTTTTCTTTTGATGTTTAATTTCCAGGGGTATTTTGTTGTTTCCTGAATATAGTTGATTCACAAAAAAAAATTTATGTGTTATGAATATGATCCAAATATTGAATATTAACTTTAATATAAAAATGATTTTCCAAATAAATATTAAAATGCTATGACTTACTTCTAACATCTTATATTTTTTAATTACACGAAGTTGTTGCTCATGATCATCTGTTTCCTGCACTTTTAATTTATTTTTGGATCTTGTAGATTTTGCTGATTACCATATGAAGTTAAGACAGTCAATAGTTATATAATGCAAAGCAAAGATATAGAAAAATTTACAAAGATTACTTTACCCTTTACTGCATTTTCTTCTAGTTCTTTCAAGGTTTTTGAATATAATTCGTAAAATGTTATTCCACCACCGTCTCTTTTTATTCCTGTCCAAATTTTTACAACACCTTCATAATTCATTTGTTCCTATTAATTGAATATAATAGTCCTGATGGTCAGTAAAATTAAAGAAAACTTTGGAATACAGAAAGTTTAAAAAAACAATCAGAAAGATCATTATACAATATAGAGATCATGAGGATTCTGACGTGCATGAGGTTCAGCGAACGATTCAGCAGGAAAGAAATCCTCAGATCAGGATCACATAGATCATGAGGATTCTGACGTGCATGAGGTTCAGCGAATGATTCAGCAGGAAAGAAATCCTCAGATCAGGAGCAAGATATCCACAAAACAAATATCAAATTCATCATCAAATAATATAATAATTAAATTTTAATTTTAATTTTAATTTACCTCGCTTAATATCTCCTTTCCCCAATAAGTTTTCAGCTCATCATCATCACAATTATTTATATAACATTTAATACCATCTACAAAACTTTTCCATTCTTGTGTTATGCTTCCTCCTAAACCTCTACGCTCATGAGAGTATACTAAATAACGTTGAAAAGAAAAAGAAGCAGGATTTTGTGCTTTAAAATAAAGGCTCATTGTATAATAAAATTTTGCTGATTTCAAAACAAATTAATTACGTGTCAAACACGAAATTTGCAAATCCTATGAATTCATATTTACAAGGTTACTCCATTTAAACAAGATAATGATCAACAGGAAAATTTTAATAATAAAATTTTTTGTGATTTAATAATAATACTTAACACAATACTTGATATAATACAGTAAAATTTACAAAAAATTAAATGATAATTAATAGTCAATTATTTACTGAAAAACTAGTAAAGTTTGTTTGTATTGAACTTTGAATACTATATGATTTTATTGTTTTTTTTTCAATTATAATCTGCTTGTATATTATTTTGTCCAAGAAAATTAAAAGCAGTTTCAAAAGCTTTTTCACATTTTTTGGAAGAAGAAGATAGTTGTTGAGACATTTTAAATTTCGTAGAATTTAGAGATTTATTAATTTAAAGAAATCAAAGAAAATGTTGATTATGTAGAATTATTAGAAGATA